AAAAGTAAATGTGAGTAGAATATTCACACCGATTTATATAATTCCCTCGATCTATGGTGTACTTTYGGTCACTACTTTTTATCATATATGCATATTACGTCATGGCCGCCATGTTGGTTGATTTGAATTAAAAAATGGTGTTGGTTTCTTTTGTCACGTCATCCAATATGGCGGCCATATGACGTCACTGMTTGTTTATGTGGGGGATAGAATCGCCAAATCCAATAGAAAATTCAACAAAATTTTCTCCTAGCGAAACAGTTTAATCTAAAATGCCCTGGTTTTCAGTTATGTGTGTTAATATGTACTAAAAAATGTTCTGTGCGTTTGCTGGCTATTCTACTTCTCTTCGTGGATTGATGCGGGTTTTAGAACAATTTTCGGTGAATTTGCGTTGATTTGACACCAACCGATGACCATGATCCTTTGCGTTTAAACAATACAAACAATACAATGTTTTGATGTGACGTCATAGTGAAATAGGGCAATAGATATTCAGTATACTCCTGTAAACTTTTAGATTTGACCTTTACACATAATGTTAGGATGATTCCGTAAGTCGGTCCCAGTTCGCTCTCTTTCGACTTCTTAACGAGGGACTACGACTTATTGAATCAGTCTAACATAATGAGTACTGCCATGTTATTAGGTCCAGTCCACCCCGGCCACTTACTTTGATAAAAGTCCTGATGATCTTGATCACCATGGTAACATACAGACCAAAGATTTTATAACTGAAAAGAAAAAAAAAAGATATCGATATTYGTTAGAAATGTTTTTGGAGCAGATTTAGTATGACGGATAACAGAACTAAGGTRCGAGAGTAGGCAAAGTACGCAGTGGGATTTTACACCATATTACAAATGTACCACACCCCTCGYATTGGTTCAGGAAAGATGTCTCAGAACGTGTAATGCGTATGCTCATGAGCCATGCCGTGAACGATAAAGCACCTCACTAAATATAACGCACGAGCGCTGTAACCGTAACTGTGCTTTGCTCAACAGGAAATAAAGTAGAATATATATACAACTTCCTTAGAAGCTTAATAAAAACACGTCTACTGAATATAACATACGCGCGCTCTGATTAATTGACTAGCGTCCCGTAACCGTTTTTTGTGTCGTAACATTTACCCGCACATGTACAATGCTTAAGAATTACAGTAGAATATATGCACGTACTTCCTCAAATGCTTGATAAAGAGCACTCCACTGAAGATCACGAGAACTACTGTCAGAAGGTAACCGCTTGTGTCAGAGTTCTTCGCGGGACGACCGAAGGGCACCACGTACAGGAAGAAGACTATCGTGACGATCAAGGCGATAATATTGAATACATTCTCAACATCGGTGAAATATCGCGACATTCCCTGGGAAAACGGTTTATGAAAATATTAATATAATATTAACAACAATAATAATAATAATAATAATAATAATTAATAATAATATAAGTATCGCGACATTTCCTGGGAAAATGGAAATATTAATATGATATAGTATAATAATAATAATAAAATATTAATGATACTGTAATAATAATAATAATAAAYAATAACATAAATATCGCGACATTCGGCAAACTTGATCTTGTGATTGAGACAGTCCCCCTTTCCCGCTCTTTTCTGTACTTCCGGTAGACRCGAGCGTGTGCCATTTGTCGGAAGTCAAATTTTCCCGCTCTTTTCTTACCATTAACAAACGAGTTTCCAACCGGATGGATTGGTTTAAACGATAAGCATCCTTGCAAGCTCAGACTGGTTAGTTRGACCTAATGTAAAGCTTCCTAAATCTAAGATCAATTAATCGATGTTTACCACTTGCCTTCATGCACTCACCTGTCTCATAACAGAGATTTCTTTTGGTATTCTTAAGCAACATATACTAAGGCATATCCAGTACAGCACTCGTAATGTTAGTAACCCATCGTTACGGACCTCAAAAGGCTATAAAAAATATTTAAAAAAATCATTAGTATAGGAAATCGCACGATCACGAGTACAATTCGGAATAGCGCAGCGCGCTGATTCTAAAAATAGCTTAAAGATTCGGACAAACATTGCATTCTGTTTAGCCGCTAGGAGGATTATACGAACCGATTTTATTATTTTTACTTAAAGTTACAATAATAACCCATGTAAACTAAGATCAACTGCGATCGGCTGTGAAAATTAAATTGTAAGTTTGTTTGTCCGAATTTCGCCTTTGTCTTCGTTTTTATGACGTAACGGCTACGCTGCGCTATTTATAGGTACGAATGATGTTTTTAAAGTTTTCAAAATTGAACGAGCCTTTTAGGCGAGTCCAATTAGACGAGTATCTATAAATTCCGAATTGTACGAGAAGTTTGTGCGATTTTTTTTAATGATAAACTCAACAAAATTGAGGAATTTAATTGGGACTCTACAGAGTACAATTCGGGATTTAATTGTACTCCTCTTGTCCAATCAGAATCGAGTAATTTTGTTGAGTGTATTATAAGCAAAGTTATCAGTATTTCTGGTTTGCAATCATTCCCAAGAGAATAAAATAATAAAATACAGTAGAGTAAACACAGTACTGACATATCACCTATCAATATCAAGATAAGTAGAGTAAACACAGTACTGACATATCACCTATCAATATCAAGATAAGTAAAGTAAACACAATACTGACATATCACCTATCAATATCAAGATAAAGTAAAGTAAACACAGTACTGACATATCACCTATCAATATCAAGATAAGTAGAGTAAGCACAGTACTGACATATCACTTATCAATATCAAGATAAGTAAAGTAAACATAGAGACCTAACTGTATTACATAGGACTCACCCATGTACCGTAGTACAAAATGTCTCCCTTCACACAGCTGACATTTCTATTCTGTTAATAGAAAAAAGTTTGAAAATGTTACCACAAATGTCGTAACGTTAAACACTGGGGGAGATGTATAAGAGACAGTTTCCCTACAGAGGCTTTGCACCATCACRTGCCGGCRCCMATAATATAGCTTGGGCTGCCTACTGTGGTTAGATGRCAGAAYAATAAAAATCCTTTGCTCTCGGGAATTGAATTYTTTCTCATGTRAAACGATCGCATTGTTCCTGCCATCCAACGCTTATGGCTGCCGTCACGTGATGGTGSAAAGCCTCTATTGTGACTTCCTTGCTGTATTGAAGAAATACAGTTATTTTTTTCACAACAGACATAACCAAGAGATGTTTGTACCCAAGCTAGAMCAAGCTGCACCACGTTTGTTGTTTTAGAATAGGTGCCTACGAAGCAAACATGCTTCAAGGCCAGTCCTCATCGTTTGACGTTCCYGTTTTCAAAAACAAAAACAAAAACAAAAAACAAAAAACAGGAATGTAAGATGGAACTTACCATGGAGAATTTGTTAGGATTTCTATCGGATATCGCACACGGCTGGTACATGATGAATGTCCCAAGAGACACGATGTATGTGAAAAACAGAATGAACTGAGGAATGACTTCGTTAAGGCCAGCTTTGCGCCTAGTACAAAAGTTATAATAAAATCATTTAACAATCCATTTGGATTTCATTCATTAGCTTGTTCATTTGTTTATTCCGCATTTGTGTTCATTTTACCCATCCATCCTTTTCAATTTAATTCATTCATCCTCTATTAAATTTAYTACTCTTAAACATACCATTATTTCTAAAAGTTGCGGGCTTAGCCTCGAATCCAGGAGTTGTTTGTTTCATTATTCTATTTTTTGCTTTGTTTTCTATTTCAAAAGGAAAGCTAAGATCGCACATTCTAGAAATTATAGTATTTTTAAGAGTAGTGTATTCAGCTAATCCTTCTATACTTATTTTCTTCCTTCCTTCCGTTCGTCCTTCCGTCCATCCATCCATTCTAACTCCCCTTATGGTATGTTTAAGAGTAGTGTATTCGGCTAATCCTTCTTTCCTTCTTTCCTTCCTTCCTTCCTTCCGTTTGTCCTTCTGTCCATCCATCCATCCATTCTAATTCCCCTTCTATCATTAGGTATCTTATTACTGTTTACCATTTAATGTCGAGGAAGGCCTGACACAACGGATGTGTAAGACAGCCAAGTCTTTTGTGCTTCACCATCGTCTACAAAATGAAAACAAATGTACAATGAGCTCTAAGCAAAGGTGAAAGTTTCAGCTTACAATAGATATTCAACGTCGTAGACATTAGCGGGCTGCCAGTGCGCTTTCTCACGTACAGCCACTGGGGCCACTGGGTGATAGCCACTGGGTTATCAGTATGATTTTTGTTTAAATTATAACTGTCATGTGTTACCCTCTTGAAATAAAGCTCATTCATTCATTCACAGCCAACACACTCTGGTATTGATTTCTCTTTTGCTCAGGTTTAGCCGCGATTTTGTGCAGAATATTCATGCGTTCCAGTAAAAGTTCGTGGAATAGGACGTTTGCATGAGGGTGTCATTTCATTACGACTACCAAAATGCTTGGCGAATTTTCTTTCTCATACAAGGTGTATTCCCTCATGGAAATAGTAGGTCGATTGGTGCTATTTAACTGAACAAAAGAAAGTGTGAAAGGGATTTTGGTAGTGGTAGTAAATGATGCTATGATGCAAGTAACCTATTTCAAAGTGCATTCTTTACATTCTTTACTGTTGGTATTTATGAATCATTTGACACTGAAATAAGGCTAACCCTGCGTAAATGAGTCTGTAATCGTCAAACACAGTGGTATTTTTCGAATTAAAAAAAGGTTTGTTACGTTTTTAAAGATATAGAGGCTTTGCACCATCACGTGATGGCAGCCATGACAGGAAACAAGAACAATTGAATCTGGTATAATTTTATTTACATGAGAAAGAATTTAGTTTTCCTGGAGAAAAGGCTCCATTATTGTGCCTCTTGTCATGGCTGCCATCACGTGAATGGCGCAAAGCCTCTAATCCAGTAGAGACTAGGAAAGATAAGTGAGGAAACCAAACCTCCAACGCATCTAACGAACCACAATGACCATCGTTCTCATCCGCCATTCCTTGGAGAAGACGGAAGTCGTACGACACCTGAACAAGCAAATAAATAGTTATTTATCAAAAACTATTTGGGTTTTTATTAGATGAACGAACGCAAACTTTTCGTTGATTCGCTTTATTATATAGTTAGGATAGTACGCGCGTGYTGATTGGTCGAAAACTGTGTTTATCAGTGAAGGGAGAAGAAGATTGAGAAGCACTCGCCTACGGCTCATCTTCTCCTTACACTTACGTCACTTCCTGCGTGCTTTATTACTGAACGGAGCACGGAAACAGCTGTTTTATTTGTTAAATACAATACAATACGACGAGAGTTTATTTAACCAATGCTCTAGCAATGCGTAAATWTATTTTGATGGTGCACGCGGAYAGTTGGGAGAGCAAGATGGCAGCGTAAGAGTTGCACGAGGCGGAGCCGAGTGCAACTCTAGCTACCAGGGTATTTGACTATCAAATACTGTTCATGATAAACGTCCTGTAATATCGGAATGCATGGRAGATGGAATTCCTGTGGAATCATTWGCTGTTCCTGATTGGGAACATCAAATGATTCTTCTGACACAGGGACCCCAGTCATAGTTACCATACCTTGTAATGAGGACTGTCAGGAGGYCCATACGTTGTCACACAATTATCAAGGAATTTCTATAAATGAATTACAGTAAGCGACAGTAAGCTAAATAAGATTGGGAAAGAACTAAGAAAGAAAACATGGAAGGAAGGAGAAAAGAAGAAAGGAAGGACGGCGGTGAAGAAAAATAGGAGGAAGGAAGGAAGGAAGGAAGGAAGGAAGGAAGGAAGGAAGAGGCGAGGGAGGGAGGGAGAAATGGAAAATGGATGAAAGGAGAGAGGAAACAACAGGGGATGGGGGAGGGGGGAGGAAAGAGAACTCTGAAGGAAGAAGGAATGGAAAAGAGGAAGAGAAGGGTAGGGAAAGAAATGGAAAGCGTAGAAGACATTTTTTCATACCTCTGCCACATGGGGTATTGCCTTTACTAGAACCTGCATCTGTCCTTCAGCTCCTCGAGGAGCACGCCTCAACACGTCACGCCACCTTCAAAAAAATAATATATTGTTTGTTATATCATCCAATCATCAGTCGCAATTAATAAACTTACTGCCCTCTAGGTGTCTGGATGAGGCGTGACAATCATTTTACAAACAACAAAACAAAACACAACAATAGTCTAAGTTTTTGCAGAATTTTTTTTTTTAATATATCTCTTATTTTTTTTGGAAACCAGCAAATTATATCATTCTCTTTTATTTTCAGGGCAATATCTTTTCTTAAGACCACAAAAGTTAGATTATGAATGTCTCCTAAAGCGTATCGCTTCAAGAAACTTTTATAAAACGCGCGCACCCTGATTGGTTATATTTACTAACGTGATGCTTCCCGCGCCGTGCACCACAGGTACCCTACAACCAAAACTTGACAATATGTTGTCCACCACAGGAATACCAACTACACAAAAGGTCATACCGAGGTCATACCTCTTGTGTTCAGCTATTGCCATAGCAACCTCCGCATGTTCATTWGYTACAGCCACGTCCAGTACGTTTTGGTTGTATGCGTTAGGAAGAACCTTCTGGTCTTTGATTGACAGCAGGAAGCATACGATGTGGGCGTGGCCTCCTTGAGCAGCCATGTGCAAAGCAGTGTTCTGTAAGAAACAAAATGATTGACGTTACGACAGCAGTAACAACAGTAACAGTAACAGCAACAGCAACAGCAACAGGCAATAGCAACAGCAACAGGCAACAGGCAATAGCAACAACAACAGGCAATAGCAACAGCAACAGCAACAGGCAATAGCAACAACAACAGGCAATAGCAACAGCAACAGGCAACAGGCAATAGCAACAACAACAGTAGCAGCAACAGCAATAGCAACAGCAACAATAGCAGAAGCAGAAACAACAAAACAACATTAGCAGCCACAACAATAAACAACTTAAACAACAGCTACGTTTACCATATCTTTGTCCACTTCGTTAATACAGCGAGGTTTGGCTCGCAGGATGATTGCTACTGACTTCAAGGACCCTTTAGCAGCAGCCAAGTGCAGTGCTGTCTTACCATTTCTGTCCCTAAAGAAAATCATAAAATTTGAATAAAAATAAACCATAAGGTACTGCGCGCTAGGAATCGTGAGGTTTCTTGGACACGCGTAACTTCTTTTTACTTGGAGTTCAAAGTACTGTGTTGTTGATGACAATATTTAGGACGTCCTCGTAAACACAAGTGAAGCGATTCCTGAGGCATTAAAATTGTGGAAATGCGTTTCACGTTTCTGGAATCCTTCTATACTTGAGACTAAGCTAGCACAGCGATACAGWCGCATTTCATTGGCTGACAACATCCCGCCAATGCTACCAACGTTGCAGTGCGTTAATCGCAACGATAAAAGYGGACGCACGGTGCGTTTTCGTTTTTGTCTTACGTGACAATTGATGCAATATTTTTCATGACAATCGCACCATGTGGCGCAGCCTTGTCACCAAAACAAGTTTCTGCTCTGCGGATTAATCAAACGCAAACATTTAAAGTTGAGTCAATCAACAAGCGATTTTTTGCTTGCACAGGCGACGTCCAGCGTCTCGGGTGCAGCAAAAAAATTTCAGAGTGGCTACTCAAGATACAAAGTCTGTGACATTGCCACAAAAAAACTAATTTGATTGATTTCCCGCGATGTTTTTTTCTTTTTTCGATCTTTTCAGCTGTCGCTTCGCCTATGCAACGGTCGCTGCACGTGCAATTTTTCACCATGCGTTTTTGCTTTCGAAAAATCGTGTCGCCTGCACAAGCAAAAAATCGCTCATATAGCCACGGCTCTACATGAGAGTCTAATGTATTTACTTGAGGAGGCTGGCCTGGTGTTCAAGTAACAGAAACACCAAGTTACTATGTCCCTCTTCCGCTGCGCAGTGCAATGGTGTTCTCTCTATGTCGTTGACTGCGTCGATCTGATGGAAGCCACGAGCGTGGAGCAGTTTCTTGACAATGTCTATCCAACCATTTCTAGCGGAGGAAAAAATGATGAAAGATAAGGCATTATTTAATAGAACTATTGAGGCCGTTTCGCGGGCGTTGAGAAAATCGAAAACATTTTGTAGTAAATTCCGGTTTAAAACATAAAAATAAAAGTAGGAAAAAATCGAATAAATGAATAAAAGGAAAAATTAAAAAGGAAAAATTAAAAAGGAAAGCAGAAAATAATCTAAAACCTTTCAAAACGTTTATGGTGAATCTGTGAGGCCTGCTTCTTGTATATAAATGATTGCTCAACCATGGCAAAATATTTATTCAACAAATCGCTCATAGATTTGCATACACGACTTTCAAAAATGACCGCCAAACTCGGTTGGGACTAGGAACAATTGAATGRAAGCGAGGCAAGTAAGGCCTCATTAGTAAACAAAGCCTACTCAGTACGATATTTTGTGTCAAAGTCATTCATCTCACCAATTCGAGTTCTTTTAAGTGTCTTTTGAAGTAAGGGTGAATGACTTTGACACAAAATATCGTACTGAGGGAACTGTGAAGGGGTCTATTGATAACCAAGAGTTCTGTTTACGTATATCGAGACATACCTCGCGGCCAGGTGTAACGGTAACTCTCCTCGATTGTTACGCACTTTGACAGAAGCCTGGTAGTTGGAACTTGATCTCGTCCATCTTCTTTGTAATAGACACACGTTCTGATAGTGGACATAAAATCCATCGAGACATTTCAATAGCGTTATMTATTAGTATAAGCATTGTCTATTCAGGGGAGGGGGAGGCTAAAATGGGCTTTTAGAAAGTGTATTTTTGTTTCGGCCCTCAGGCCGAAACGCTACTAAGATCAGCTTGGGTAACCCATAATATTCTGTGAAGCTGTCAATCAGCTGTCATTATTTTCTATCGTATCTGTATACCTTTTGCTTTATTTATATACATGATCCGTGATTCGCTAAGGTCATAAGCTCAATAGCTCAATTATTGTTTTATTTAAATAACAATTTATTGTTTGACATATTTGTCGAAGCGTATGTATTTACCAAAAGACTCGTGTGTGTGTGCGTGTTTGCACTCCAACGAATAATGCGAGATAGATACTTCATTTGCGACCAACAATGTAGAGTAAAAGATTTGGACATTGTCTTACTCAWGTACCTGCTATTTCTTGGAAATTTTTTGCTCCTTGGACTTCCTGTGCCATAAAATTTAACACAGGGATCCCAAGAGAAAATATATGGGGTAGCCTTCGGAGGGGGCTAAAAAATGTGTGATACCGAGTCCAGGAGATCCGAGACCCCTGGGGTAAGAGGCGACGGTTACTACCGCTACCCCATCTTTGACTTTCCAGAAAGTCAGTTTGGTTAGTGTTCATTTGCAGAAAAGAATGTGAGATATTTGGTGTATAGAAGCGCATGTCTCACCTTTAGGAATCCCCCTTGAGCTGCGTAGTGAAGTGCTGTTGAGCCGTGCTCGTCAACTGTGTTTATCATTCCACGAATTCCAACATGCTGTAAGAAATAATATCAAACAATRAATTTATAGCTTGCCTTAGTGCGTCGATGCATGTGCAGGTTAGTAATTCTGCTCGCATATCAGTATGGACGGACGGACGGATGGATGAATGGATGAATAGATGAATGGATGGATGGGTGGGTGGATGGATGGATGGGTGGGTGGGTGGATGGATGGATGGATGGATGGATGGATGGATGGATGGATGGATGGATGGATGGATGGACGGACGGATGGACAGATGGATGGAAACTAGGTAATGGACTTACTTTCAATAGTGCTGCCAGCGTATCAGAGTGCCCCACAGCAGAATGAAGTACCGTCCTGTTCATGGAATCTCTGCAGGTAGTATCCGCCCCGTGTTCTAACAATATCTCAACCGCACCAGTACAACCACGTGACGCGGCTAATAACAAGGGTGTGCGCAATTCATTATCCAAGTCATTTAGTTCAATACCCTAAAGACGATAAATCGGATAGATCAAATAAAATCTTAACTGTGCCCTGTCTGTGCACTTAAAATAGTGGTATGCACAAAGGTTTTAACTCTTGCAAAGAATAAACAATTATATTTCTGAGCTAATTCAAAATCTTTACCTGATCAATTAAAAACCTCACTATGTCGACATGGTCATACATCGCTGCTCTGTAGTAAGGCAAGAAAACACCAGTTACTATAGCGATATTTACTGTTTACAAACATTGACATCAGGAATCDTTTCTCATTCAAATTTGCCAACCATTAAGACAAAAGATATCTGTTTTAGTAGCCAATAGAGGTCTGGTTGGTCTATTGATATTAATAGGTGACCTCAGCGCAAACATCGCTATTATAAAGTGTGTGCATAATGACGATTAACCAGTAGTGTTCACATATCCCACATCAACCAATTGAAAAATGACACGCGAAAATAGCCCTCTTCACATCATCACTTACTTGTGCAGACAAGTCAGTCCTTGCTTRTCTGACTGAGAATAACAGTAGATGTATGACACTGACTTGATAAGAACCTTGAGGATCTCGAACGAGCCGTATGTACAAGCCATGTGTACAGCGGTAGTGCCATCAGATTCCTGCATTAAATAATAAGAAAAACAATTGAAAAAATGACACGATTCTATAGTCCTTTCAGGAATTCGCTTGAGTGATGACCATGAAACTATTATTATCATTATCATCGTCATCAA